ATATATATATATATATACAAATAACATATATATTTATATATATATTATATATATATAATTTATTATCTGTTTAATATATAAGAAATAAATTATGTACATAAAATTACATTTATAACATATATATATTACATATTTATAATATATATATATCTATATATATATATATATACATATATAAAAATATAATATAAACATATTATTATATTTACAGATATTATATATATATATATATATATATATATATACACAAAAGAAATTCAAAATATACATGGATATATGTGATATATAAATATATATAAATATATATATATATAATATATATACATTACTATTTATTTTCATTTATATATATTTTATATTTAAATATATATATATATATATAATTTCATATATAATATATATATATAAAAATATATATATATATATTATATTATATTATTCATATATATATATATATATATATATATATATTTATTGGATCCATTTATTTTAATTGATATATATATATTTATATATATATATATATATGAATATATATATAAATTTATTTCAAAGAAAAAAATTAATGTATTTGTTTTAAAGAAGAAAATTGAAAATAATATAAGAAATAAGAATGATATTTCACAAAAAAACAAGACCAAATGAAAAAAAATATTAATTTAGGGTCAATGGGTTTATTTTTAAATTTTATCATCAATAAATAATCACCCATACAATTAACATACACCTAAAACTACTTTGAAAGACCATTATTTACAGGTTTATTTAAGGAAAGAAGAACAAATAATTTTTTTTTTTTTTTTTAATTTTTTTTTTTTTTTCAGCTGGTTATATTCATATATATCTTTGAAAGATAAGAGGTTTTCCTTTTTTATATTTATATTGTTTTTAAAAATTATAAATAAAAATAAACAATGTACAAGAGAATTTTAAAAAAAAAATCAAAAAAAAAAAAAAATAATGAAATAAAATATATACATCATTCAATAAATAAAGAAAAAAACTTATAATATAATATATTTATCAATATAGAATGGCAAATTTTTTAGAAATTGAATTGTTTAAATAAGAATATATATATTTTTTTTTGATTAGATTATTATATTTTCATGACAAATGGAATCAGATGATCAAATTTTTGGACATTTGGAATAAAAAATATATTTATATATATTTTTAAATAAAAAGCTAATTTATATTTGATGAATAAATTTATATGAATAAATTAAAAAATTTTTAACCCATAACCAAGAAAATCATATGTATTATTGGTTTTGGGAAATAAAAAGAATTATTTCTAAAATAAAACCTTATCAGACTTATTAGTTTTATTCTAAATGAATTAAATATTTTAAAACATATCTATCATGATTTGGATATGGAACAATCTAATAGATAGAAATAAAATTAAAAACATCTTTTTAAAAAATGACCAATTATTTTTCTGTTGTTTGAAAATATTGAGTTCATTTTTGAAATTTTATAAAAAAAATAATGCCTTTTGTTATTAATTTATGATGTTAAATCAAATTTTTGCTCAAATTTATATCTTTTTTTTTATGATCCGTTTATATATAAATATATATATATTTATATATATATATATATATATATATATATATATATATATATATATAAAATATATATATACAAACAATTATGCAGATCAGGTCAATAGTGTTTGAAAAAATTGCTATTTATAAATATTTAGTGTTTAAATAATGTAAATGTGGGTATATTTTTAAAATCTATTTTGATAAACAATTCATGGAATTTTTTTTATAGTCAAACTATAGTTATACATAATGGTTTGAAGGTGAATAAGATTTATTTTTTTTTATAAATATTTATTAGGGTTCAAGGTTTTTTTTTTATTCAATGTTTATTTAAACCTCTTTAAAAGAATAATTATTTTATATTCATTGCCACCCAAAATCATAATAATTTAAAGCTATTCAATAACAATTCATAATGACATCGACATTTTCCAGTTGCCTTAATTTGGGAATATTTATTTTTTTATCATCAAATAATTTAATTTTCCATTATTATCTGATTTTTCTCTAAATTTTATGAACCAGGTTTTCTTAAATGGATCCTTTTTTTGATCTATACAAAATTGAAAATTTTTTATTAAAAAAAAACAATTTGATTATATTTTGAAACCTATAAAAAATGAAATCAAATTAATTTTTTTTTTTTTGTAATTTTATAAAAAAATTTTAAACAAAGGAATATTATTGTTGTTTACAAAAATATATATATATAATTATATATATATATATATTTATAAATTTAAAATTGTTCTTATAAATTTATTATAAAAATATATATGATAAATATATATATAAATATATATATAATAATTTTCCTTGTATATATATATTATATATTTCTTTGGAACTGATATTTATATATTTATTTATATACATATATATATATATTATATATATATATGAATTATTTATTTAATAAATAATTAATATATATATATATATATTTATATATGTTATATCTTTGTTTTATTTTTAATCATATTTTTATTTAATATATAATAAAGTATTATATAATATTGTTATATATATTTTTTGTATATTTATATATTAGAGTATATATATATGAATAATTTTAAAAATAAATGAAAATAAATAAAAATAAAATATATATATAAAAAATATTAATTTAAATATATATTATTCACATACATATATATTTTTTATTAAATAAAATATATATTATAATATACCTTATAAAGCTAAAACATAAATATATTTTATATTTATATATATATGTATTATCAAAAAAAATAAAGAAATATTTAAATGAATATATAAAAATTAAATTTTTATAAATATTTATATATATAAAATTATTTATTATAAATAGAATATATTAATATATATATATATATATATATAAATATATATATATATATTTTATATATCATTATTAAAATTATATATTATATTATTTTTCTTATCCCAAATTATAAAAATATATTTAATTAAAATAATTAAATATATATTTATACATAAATATAAGAGATTGAAATTTCCCAAATTTATAGAAATATATATATACATATATATATATATATATATATATATATATATATATATATATATATATATAATAATAAATTTTATATATTAGATAGATATATATACAATATATAAAATCTTAAAATATATAAAAAATATATAATATATATGGGATATATATATATCATATATAAATACAAAGGATAGAATTAATGGAAATCATATATATTTATAATGAAGGGATATAAAATATATTCAACCAATATATATATAAGTGAATCATACAATATAAATTCTAATATTTTATAAAATATACAATATATATATATTAATATATATATATTTATAATATATTTTATATATATATATTACATCTTATATATTATTTTCTTCACCGTTATATATATATATATATATATATATATTATATATATATATATTAATTATTAAAATATATATATGTATTTTATATATAAAAATATTATATATATCCTGTTGCAAAATCTTACATATTTTATTCTAAAAAATTTCTTCAGATATAATGGTTTTATGTTTTAATACTGTTTATTATAAATCAAGCAATTTATAAACTAATATTTGTAATAAACAAAAAAGAATATTTAAAAAAAAAAAAAATATCCATAAAAATATTATATATTATATATATCATAATATATATATATTTATATATATATATATATTTAAATAAGCATTGAGCAGATATGAATGAATGAGAGAAAATCATGGAGAATTAATAAAAAATCAATAAAGTAAATTCAAATTTTATAAAAATATATATTCTGTTTAAATATAGTTAAGAAAATATATATATTATTTTTTTTTATATAAAGGTTCGTGGAGATAAATAATATATATAAATATATTTATATATATATATATATATATATATATATATATATATATATAAAATATATATATATATATATATATATTTTTTTTATATATTTATATATACCCCATATATATATATGGGATTAAAATATATATATATATATTATTGGAGGACCGGATAAATGTAACGTATATTCTAACGTAATTTCAAAGAAGAAATAAATTGAATAACATATGTCCAATTTTTCTTTTCTCCTCAGTAATTTTATTGTTTTTTAAACTTAATAGTGATTAAATTTGGATTTTAAAATTGGCATTTTTAATTTTAATATCAAATTTTATCATATAATTTAATAATTGTTGGTTCGAATAAATTTTTTTTAATATTACCCGTATTTAAAAGATTTGAATAGCTATTATACCATGACTTCGTTGTCAAGCTTTTTGAATTTTCCTATACTTGTATTTTGTTTGGTCATTGTAGCTTTTGTAACAGCGTTTTCCCCTTGCGAAGGATCGTTAATTAATTTGAAACTTTTAAAACCATTTATTTTACATTCAACATCATCACTTGATAAGACAAAAGGGTGTTGAAACAAAATGGCAATTTTTGTAGTGATTTTATAACATATTTATGTTATAATTTTTTTTTTATAAATAATAATTATATCTGCTCCACTTTGTATTGAGCACTCTTTTAAGAATAGTAATTGTTGGTTATTGGAATTCATTCTGTATATACCAATTATATACTTGGGTATACATATACATATATATATATATATATATATATATACATACACACACATACAGTGGGCATAGGAATCAACATTGTATAGTAACTATAAATATCATGTTCCATTTTGATGCTCAATCCAAGTGTGACTATTCCTTTAGTGGGCTGTATATATAAGTCACTGGGGAATTCAAATCAAGGAAGAAGGATACCAGTTCTTTGAAGTTTCTATATGTTAATGTTTAGGGTTATTTGTAGTCATGACTTCTAAATTTCTTATTTATATATCAATTTATAATATGAAATGTTAGAACAGTGTAAACCTCAAAAGAGAAAATTTTATGAAACAAATAAATTCTATAAATACTTACTGATATTGTGAAATTTACATTGTAAAAATCCCTGAATTTTGCACTTTTAAGGCATCTTGGTTGTACAGCTCCTTCTGCTGCAAATATCTGAAGAAAAAAAAACATTTCATTCAGAAATTCCTTCATTCCTGCAAACATTTACAATTTTCTGGAGGTACTGTCAAGCTCATATTTTCTAATTTCACTGGTGGTTTGGGATGTGATTTTTGTTGTACAGTTTTTAAATAGTTTGGTAAGCTTTTAAGTATGTTTTAAGATATCATTTATTCATTTATTTCATAATCAGTGTAATTATCTAAATTCCTTCTAATGAAAGTTTACCTAAAAATTAAGCAATGTTAGTAAGTTTTAGCAGTGGCGTAGCTAAGGGGGGGAGAGGGGGGCGGACCGCTCCAGGTGCCAGCACAGGAGGGTTGACACAATGTCACCAGCCAACAAAATTTTTCAACCAGGCTAAGGTGCCAAAAATAGTCTGAAAACAGTGGTGGAGACACAGGGTTTCACAGGCGGGCATATGACCCCCCAGAAATAATTTATGACCCCCCAGTTTTGTCCCCCCGTCAGAAATTTTCTAATAAATTGTCGGTAAATTTGTGAGTAGGAAAAATACCAATGTTTTCAGCTTTCATGTGTTTCAGTTGCTACAATCTTGGTTACTAACAAGAGATATTGTTGTAACATTTTATCGGATGATATGGTGTTTTAACTCTGCATCATTAATAACAAAGCGAAATACGAAGCCAAAAATGCAACAATTTCAGTCTTGCCTGTGTATCAATTCGCTGAGATACAATTTTCCATTGAGTGAGAGATATACTTTTAAATATATCTACTAGTGTTGGGACGATTAATCGGAATCGAGAATCGGAAAAATTGGAACTTTTTGGGGTATCGGAAAAATTTGTGCCTATTTTCCGATTCCAAAAACGATTCTTTTGAATTTTTAACTTAAATTTCCATTATTGGTACTCATGATAAATATTTATTGTTTTTAAATTATCACTAAAATTAAAATCATAATAACATCAAAATACGATGTAAATTTATTTTACTTGTATATAAAGAAAAATAAACTTTGCATAAATTCTCTAGGTAACCTTTAATGCGGTTGATTAACATTTAACAATGTTCCGAAAAATGCTTAAAAATTAAATAGAACATTTCTGTCAAGAAAAATACTTTCAAACATCATTTATAATTTAAATGGTACCCAGAAAATGATACACGGGAAAATTAGCAACAGAAAATTACGTCAACCATGAGCCAGTCGAGACTGTCGGATCTGGCTGTGCTGTCCATTGAAAACGAGCTTACAGATTTTGACGATGTCATTGACCAGTTTGCCACAATGAAAACAAGAAAACATTCATTCTAAGACCATAGTATCGAATGTCATTCTTTTGTGTATTGCCATGTTTTGTATTTAGTTGTTCTGAAAGTGAACAGTTGCATTTTAAAAATCTTTTGATTTGAACTGATTATTTTGTGGTATTGGATTTTGTCTTGGATCATAAACAGTAACGTACCGGTGGATAGAGTAAAGGAGAGGTAGAACATGTATGAAAATTTAGCTACAGCTAACCATTCAGCATAGGGTGAATCGTGGTCATTGGGGTGACATTTGAGCGGACTGCCCCGGGTGACGTTTACTCTAGTTACGCCACGGAGTTTTAGTCTATATCCAATAAACCATCATTTTGAAAACTTTCAATCTCACAGTGGTAACAATTGTTACTTACCCTATATTTCAAGAGAACTAGAAGTTGTGATTTAAGTATTAAACCTTTCATCTTTCCATAAGTTTCTGGTCTCTGAAAAAGTGAACAATCAGAAGCTCTCAACATTCATAAATAAATTTAAATGCTTTTGTATTAATCTAAACATTGCATATGAATATAAATGACCTAAGATTAAGAAACAATTGTCTCCCTTGATGTTGCATATAACAAATTCTTAATATATTAAGATAGAAAAAAATAATCTGGAATACAATTTACTCTTAAAATATTAGAATTAATTTGAGAAACTTCAATAATTTTTTAATGTTACTTTTGTTTTTTTTAACAGTAATTGAAAGATGCTATTTCGATAAAAGTTGTGAAGATATTTTGAGTATCACTTTTTTGCAAATTTTAGAGTATTTTTATGAAATAAGGAATAAGAGTAAAACAAAAAGAAATATTTTTCAGAATTAATATTTTTTCAAAATACTCGAAATGGACAATTATATTTTTTTATTTTTTTGATGGTTATGACAAATAATCCAACATTAACTGCAAATAATTTTTCTCTATTCTTGGAATTCTTGATTTTTGAAACTGATATTTTTATGGATTCTTCCAGTATTACAATCTTAATTTAAAATCTAAAAGGAACAAACTTTACTTTTTCAATAAAGTTTACCTTTCTTGAAATGTTTAATGTTGGCCGCTCGTCAGGAAAGTCTACAACAGGAAAACCACATGAAGTCTCAACTTTTAAAAGATCAACAAGTTTTCCAACTGAACAAATTGGATGTACACACACCACAGGTTTGCTCATAATATCACTGAAATGGAACAAAAATATTCTATATGGCATCATTCTGTTTCATAAAATCTGTTAAAATGACAGAAAAAAAATAATAAAACATTTGGATGACAGACTAATAATTTTTCCCTATATTCAATATTTTTTTTTTTTTTTTTTTACTGCGAGTTTCACCCTGTACAAGGCCCTGGAGCCACTCAAGATAGAGGGTTATAGATTAAGAGGCACAGTTTATGTGGATATGTGGGGAAGATAACAGTTAATCTTAGACTTGAATAGGTTAAGATTGTAGTAATCAGGAAAACATCCACTAGAGAGTCTTTCCCAGAGCAGTGGTTCACAGGAAGAAGCTGAACAAGTGGAACTTCTCACAAATAGAACACAGAGGGAAATCAAGTAGTTAAACTGAGAAATTTTAATTATCAGGTTGTTCAATATAAAATTGAAACAATTTGTAGGAATATATTTATTAAATATTTCTCTTGATCAGCAGGTTGTCAGTTCTCTTAAAGTATTCTACATTCAAAGAAAATTAAAGGCCTCTTTAATCTGATCCTGGTGAGGTGAGATTTTTGTAAGGAATTCATTTAATCTTAAAAAGAAAATCATAGAAATAACAACTAAATAGCCAAGATACATTAAATTTTCCCTTTCATTGGTTGATGGTTTTAACATGAGGTCAAGCATTATTTTGCAACAAAATGACACATTTTCTATGTCTCACACACAGAACTTTAAGTCTTGGATGTGTGGGGGATTACCAGCAACTTGTTTGTCAAGAAGCCTCTAAGTGGCATTGTTTCAGTTTTATAAAAGGAAGTTGCATAAACTTTTTTTCTAACTTCAAAATGTAGCAACAACACAGAACTTGTCTCTGCTGGGGAAGATTTCTTTCTCACAGCAAACTGGTCAGTTAATTTCAAGCAAACCCTGCAACCATCATACAGATGAACAGACATACTATGGTTAAGTAAATAAATGTGTTCTTTCACTTTTTTTTAATTATCTGTATACACGTAAATATAATTTTCTTTCGTGAGCTACGTTTTTCTGTATAAATGTTAAATCTATTTCTTTTTGAACATATTGAATTCCTTTCGAAAATGTTTATTTAATTTACTTTGAAAGCCTTTATCCTCATCAGCATCTGATGACAAGCCACAACCTTGTCTGCAAACAATCCTGTAGCATATGTTCACTGCAAATGAACTATTTCAAGTCTTTTTCAATATGTTCATTTGCATTGTCATGTGTGGCTACTCTACTAAATACTTATCATAACCTTCTAGAGATGAGTTTTAGCTTTTCATTCATATCTTGTCATTGTGTAAATTTTCTCCAGCTGTCCTACAACATCCATTTTTGAATGCAAATGATGATATCAGGCACAAAATAGATAATTTTTCATGGCACTGAACATTCGTGCATGTCTCCATATGCTTGAGTCTTGTTTTTCCTTCATTCAGTTAAGTCTATTTGAACATTTTGCTCTTTTATAATTGCACTTAAATTATTTCAAATGCTTTTAAACAATACATTCAAATTTTCTCTGAATCCTCAGGTTTTGTTATCATTTTCTACCACAGCTTTGAAATTTTCACAGATCACTTTAGTTAATTGTTCTTGGATTTTTTTTTAATACCACTTTCAAATTTTTACAGAAACCAAAGCTCATTTCCTGATAGTATCTCTAAATACAAAATTTGTTTTACTTTGATTATTATTCTTATCCAAGTAAAAAAAATGAAAAGCATGAATTGGCAGGCTCTACATATTTACCTTGCAAAAAATGTAAAATTTAAAGGAAAAGAAATTTATTTCAGTATGAAACAAATAATTTAATCAATCTTATCATTATTATTCTTATCCAAGTAAAAAAAATGAAAAGCATGAATTGGCAGGCTCTACATATTTACCTTGCAAAAATGTAAAATTTAAAGGAAAAGAAATTTATTTCAGTATGAAACAAATAATTTAATCAATCTTATCATTATTATTCTTATCCAAGTAAAAAAAAATGAAAAGCATGAATTGGCAGGCTCTACATATTTACCTTGCAAAAATGTAAAATTTAAAGGAAAAGAAATTTATTTCAGTATGAAACAAATAATTTAATCAATCTTATCATTATTATTCTTATCCAAGTAAAAAAAAATGAAAAGCATGAATTGGCAGGCTCTACATATTTACCTTGCAAAAAATGTAAAATTTAAAGGAAAAGAAATTTATTTCAGTATGAAACAAATAATTTAATCAATCTTATCATTATTATTCTTATCCAAGTAAAAAAAATGAAAAGCATGAATTGGCAGGCTCTACATATTTACCTTGCAAAAAATGTAAAATTTAAAGGAAAAGAAATTTATTTCAGTATGAAACAAATAATTTAATCAATCTTATCATTAAGAACGTTACACTGACATAATAAGTGGAAAATCTGAATTTATGCAGGGTGTCGCAGCAAAATCCAACACTTGACAAAAAGAAAATGAAATAGGCAATAAAAACAAAAGTTGTATATGCAGAGATCCAATAGTTTATTTAGCAACAGTTAGAGTTACATACTACATTAATTTTCAATATAACCGCTGATAACGGCAGCCATCATCTGAAGGCGGCATGTGAAATGAGTCATAAGCTTTGGCGACCATGTCCTTGTCCATAGCAGCAAACGCCTCCACGATGGCAGCCTTCAAAGAGTCGACCGTGTTGTGGGCGTGCTTGTTGGTCTTGGCCTTGATCACACCCCAGAAGAAATAGTCAAGGGGGTTAAAGTCAGGTGAGGAGGGCAGCCACAAGTCCAGCAACCAGTGGTGAGGAACATTGTTGAGCAGCCATGCTTGGGTTGTCTTGGCCTTGTGTGCAGGAGCAGAGTCCTGCTGGATGACGTAGGGGCGTCTGGCAGTGATCTCGTCCATCCAGATCTTCACTACACTCCTCAGCAACTCCTGGTAGATCTCAGCGGTGACTCTCGGGCCCTTTTGAAAGAAGAATGGAGGCATGACTTCCCCCTCACTGGAGATGACGTCAAAGACCATGACGGAGGAGGAAAGCTTTTTATGCTTCTTGATGGGAACCTCCTCATTGACTTTGCAGATCCACCTGTCGTTCTGCTTGTTGCTTCTCTGATCCTGGATGAAATTCTTTTCATCAGAGGAGGAACTCAGCATCCCGGCTGACCCGTGCTTGAGCTTGTTCAGCAAAGCTACCTCTTTGACCTTCCTCGACTCCTTGGAGGCATTCGTGATCAGCATGCGATGTAACTTGCGGTAGGAGGAGTAACCAATGTCCTTTTTGATCGTTCGGCAGATCGTCGACTTGTGACAGTGCATGTCAGCGACAATCTTGGCATACCTCTGGCTTCCATCATTGTCAACTGTCTCCTTGATGGCGGCGATGAACTCGTCGGTCCTAACGGCTAAGAACGGACGTTGTGGGCCTTTCGTTTGGCAGTAAAATTGTTCTTGTTCTCACATGCCTTCCACTTTCTCCAAATGTCCATGACTTATTGTCCTCTTGAACCCAAACCAGGCCATCACTTCCACGGGATTCTTCCCGATGTTTTAAAGAATCTGCTACTGCTGATCTGCGCTCATATTCCATCCTGGAAAAGGGTAGAGAGAAAAACATTAGTTAGTTGTCTGTCGGGTTTCTGCATATACAACTTTTGTTTTTATTGCCTATTTCGTTTTCTTTTTGTCAATTGTCGGATTTTGCTGCAACACCCTGTATTTCACTACAAGAAAAAATTGGTAAGTTTTGACAACTCTGAAAATTAATAATCCAAACATGTTTCTAAAGAAACTGCAATTTAGATGTTGACAATTATCCTTTTCGCTTTACTAAAAACTATGTCAAAAGGATAAAGACATTGTACAACTATCAAATATACAAACCTTGCTTTCACATCTTCAAACATTGGTGGAGGTTCCGATGGTAACATTGGAATTCCTGCAACATGAATGTTCATTTCATACAAACCCTATGGGAAGAGAAATATTATCATTAGTAACAAAATTTAATTTGTATTGGTAAATGGAAGTTACTCTAGTCCAGGGCTGGGCAAACTACGGCTCATGGGATGCATACGGTCTGCCAAAAACAGAGAAAGTTACCAAGCAACGCCAAATAATTGTGAGCATTTTGTTTTCTTCCTGCAGGTGTGCATATGCGTGGGAAAGTGCTGATCAAAAGGCTACAAACACCGAAGGTCTTCACTAAGACCGAGTTCAAGTTCGTAACAATGGCTAATCTGGCAACTTTGTTACCGCGCCAGTAATTTTATTTCCTTTCATTTGAATCATTTCAGTGTCCTGGCAGATGCCAAAGAGTTAAGACGTGGGTCATTTTATTTCAGCCTAGCTTTTATTATCTTACAAACTTTACCCAAAATGAGTTATTCGAAACCATCTAAAAAGTGAAAAATTGAGGACGAATGAGTGAACTGAAAGATATTTCTTTACTGACGTTGGAGTTAAAGCTGTATGTTTGATTTGTCATGAAACAGTTGCTGTGTTCAGGGAATACAATTTGAAATGGCACTTTCAAACCAAGCACGTCAACTTTGGACACAGTTTTATCAAAACAAGAACTGCAAAAGAAGGCCACTGATCTGGTAAAAAGTTTGAAGCAACAACAAACTGTGTTTGAGAAAACTTTATCTTTACAAAGAAGCGCAACAAAGGCAAGTTTTTGCAAAACAAAATAAGTCATTTGCAGAAGCAAAATTTATTAAAGATTGCTTGGTTGATGTCAGTGTTGAGGATTAACACAAGCAACTTGTCACCTAATTTCAACAAACTGGTAAATGACTGTAGTCAGATGCATCATTCTCATTGTCATTGAGATTTTAGCATCCCGCTACCACTTTTTTTTTTTTATCAATCTCAATTTTTGTTCAAATCTGTGCAAAAAGCAGATCACAGAGCTTATTCAGCTTCATACATGTTTTAAGAAAACTTCAACTTCTGATCGGCCACTTAATATTTAAATTGTGTTCTCAACTACGTCTGAATAACATCGAACTAGTTCTTGACCTGACTAAAAAATAATTCCGCCCAAAATCTGTCAATACCTTTTTCGAGCCTGTCACCTAATTATGTTTGATTATAAATACCACACACACACACACACACACACACACACACACACACTCTCTCTCTCTCTCTCTCTATATATATATATATATATATATATATATATATATATATATATATATATATCAGTAAAAGAAATCGTGTCTCGACCCCTTGTGGGCGAATGCCATGAAAACATATTCACACATGTACATGTACGTACAAAACTTTCCAAATTACATTGCAAACATAATGAAACTTAATTATAGAACATTCACTCCTTCAACTCTTCTAAAGCTAAAAGTTTACTCAATACATTCTCAGCTTTACAGAATTTTTTCAACTCTCTCCCAGTGAACATTTTGAGTGGTAAGTGCATTCAACCTTTTATGAGCTCAGATAAAAAGTGTTCTATTAGTACAAACTTTAAATACAGTCAAAGTAAGTTACCCCTATGCTTGTACATCATTATACAAATATAAATCTCGTTGTTGTTATAAAATCGTATTTTGTTCCTTTGCGTTTGCTTACACATTTGTAAAGTAAAAGAATGTACAGGTTGATTTAGGCCGTCAATACCACTACAAGATCCTTCTGTTGCTGTGATACTTTGTTTTTCAAATACATCTGTTTCATGTGAAGTTACTACTTCAAAATATCAATAAAATGTTTTCTTATTTAAATTGAATTACATGTGTTTCTTTTTAAGTTTCTACTTACATGTGTTTCTTTTTAAGTTTCTACTTTAAAATCTAATTAATTTTTTCTTAAAATTTTGTTACTTTATATGTATTTTAGATACCTCCATGAGATCGCTATAACATGAATAAAATGGGCCTTAAGCTTGATGTAAATAATTTTTTATTGTCTAAATCTTTACGTTATTATTAAGAGGTAAGAAGATCAAAGTATTTTTAGGTATTTTCTTGTTACATTTTTTAATCGAGCCTAGAACATCCAAAATTTTTATTAAAAATCTTGTTTTTTTTAGTCAGCAAAATTGGCAGATAATCGATCATGTCAACCATTTTTTTCCATTTTATAAGCAAAACGAAAATCTGTTTCAAATTCCTTTAAAAATCAATTATAATCCTTTTCAAAATATATTTTAAGAAAATTAAAAATTATAACGTTTACTTAAGTTTGAAACAAACACTATTTATTTTCTGTGCTGAAAAATGTAGTCTAAAAATAAGACAAAGCAGGTCTTAACATTTGGCGTCACTTGACAGGTGATGCTTGACGAATTCATCACGTGTGTTATAAAATAAAATAAGACATATGTCGGCTGATTTACGGGCAAATAAACTAACATATTCAAGAGCGAGAGCCGGATGTGAACGGGACAAGGCCCCGTCACAAAATGACCATTATCGTCGTTTACGCATAAGCCCGACGCACGAGTTCCGGTCGAAAAATAAAATAATATTTTAAAGTGTTTCTATTTTTCAACCAATAAAAATGCTTCCCTCCTAATTATACTCGCGTCGTTTTACGAGCCTGTCAAGTCATAAAAAACACCATAAAAAGGGTCACACGGGGAAGTACAACAGCAGCCATCAGGAGGCCAGGGAAGAGATCGGTCACGGTCGACTGAGCAGCAGTCAGCAGCAGTAGCGCCACGCCAACCAGCGAGAACTACTATGAGAGATCAACCCAGGTCGGCAGCCGGCTTATGAACTATACCACAAGGTAGCTGTCCCAAAACCACACGTTCCTACTGAAATAAATCACGTAAATCTATTTCTGCTGTTGTCGTATTTCTTTCTTGCAACTATACGCTTGTCTATAACACTGGTGTCAGAAGCGTACAGCAAGAAAAATATGGACGATTACACGAGCTTCACCCGAGCCGAACTATTTACTCTCATTAAGGAACGGAAAACACTACTATTCAACTTGAAAACGGGACCAACAGAGCCTTCCGAAGCCACGATACAAGAAATTCAAGCCGACATAAACGACATGCTGACTGCCCTAAAATCAACAACTTTAACACTTCCCACCGTCCAAACAATCAGCGATTACAGCTTAATGATGCGCCAACAAACTATACGCGACATATTGAAGCTAGAGAAAACTTTTCACCCTGGACACGACGTGAACCGCTTCATCACGGCCCTAAACAAAGCATACACAATCCACGTCACGTCAGAACTCAGCACCTATCCCAGTCTGGAATGCGAATTCGTCAAGTCTGCTAAAGATTTACTGGACTAAAGTATCTTTCAGCAGATGGTTGACTCAAAAAAAGACATATCCACATTCGAACAACTGAAGGAATACTTATTAGCAACCCACGGAAGTCAGATGACTAATTTCCAACACCTCAGTCAAGCCTGGGACCCGGAACGGCGAGACGGCGAAAAATTAACAGACTTCGCGGGTCGACTCGAAAACACCCTTAGAGAGGCAGTCGTCCACATAAAAAACAAATACAAAAAAGACAAAAATACAGACCTAACAGTCGATGGACTTATTTCCATCATCGGCGCTATGCTAATGAGCGAAAAGGTGAAAATTTGGAACTCAAATCTTTACCCACATCTTGTCAAGACAATGGACAACCACTATTCAGCCATTGGCATAACCTCCGAAGTTCAAAGATACCTTGATCGCGGTGTAAAATCAAACGACACGACCTCGCACGACACTGTGTATTTCACACAGAAACCACAGCGGTCAAACCAAAGAAACGCGCCACTCCGACCCAGCAGCCAACCAAACCCACAGCAGACAGACCTCACCAACCCTCCCGAACATGGCCACCATCCGACACGCAGAAACCATCAGCACACACCACGAATTAGCGTGTGCAAGAACTACCTCAGAGGTCGTCCTTGCCTCCATGGATGCAACTGCCTATATCGCCACCCACATCACACTCGGGCACAGGCGCATATCGCCGCAACGAACGATAATATACAAGCCATAAATGATGTGGAACAGGATTTTCGCTCCGGGCAGGACGAGATGTGATGCCTCGTTCGCCGTGCCCCTACGTCAGCCATCACACCTTCAACTTTCAAGGACTCGCTCACCATTCACCGCTCGTCCAGTCCACCTTCAACTTCAGGGACATCACCTTCTCTGGCGTCGCAATGCTAGACTCTCGATGCTCCACCTGCATCTTACCAATATCTCAGTTACCCAGAGAAGCCAAGAAACACATGACCCGCTCCGACGTCGTAGTAAAAGGAATCAACGGCAGCACCACCGCCCTTGGCGAACTGACTTGCTACATCACCATCGGCAGTCGAGACTCACCCACATTCAAAAAGGTTAACGTGTTGGTAACTACCCAAATCACACCGATCCTGATCGGCCAAAATATCCTATGTCACAACACGCTCGATTCCTATCTAATCGACAACCAAAATGCGACTATAGAATTCAGACGCACACTTTCCTCAGGATACACAACACACACAGCCGCAATCATATCACCGTCATCGTCAACCAACGATCCAGCATATGGCGCCCAAGCTGACGTCATCCAAAACCAGCCTACTATGGAACTACAGCACAACATCCAGACACTGGATCAAAAGCTAACCTGGCTTAAAGCATAACACGGGCTATCGCTACCAAACCACCCGAACCGAGACGAACTAGAGGCCACTGCAAACTTACTCATTCGCTACGCTGACGTTATCGGCACCGAAAGCAGCAGCAAAGGCACATTCATCCGACCCATCCGCATACCAACTAACGGCCAGTCTCGCAGCCAGAAACAACACCCGATCGCCAAGGCTTTGGAAGCAGACGTAGATACCGAAATTAAGCGCATGGCCGATGAAGGTATCATTGAAAACTGCAGCGACCCCAAAGGTTTCAATAGCCCTGTATTTGCCGTACGCAAGAAAAACGGATTGATTCGCGTCGTCGCTAACTTTAAAAGAACTCT